TGCTCCCGCAACATGTGTTTTGCTCCCGCGCACACGCGTGATGTACAGGGAGCAAGCACATCTTACAAGATCAGATATTTGTCAATGAGCTCAGAATCTGTTGAGCAGCAAATACTCCAGCATGGTCTTGTCAGTCATCTCTCCTTATTCTCGACCTGAGATCAGTCAAAGCTGACTCCGGTGGATGCAGGGTTGCCAAGTCCGCGTTTTTTCCACAGAATTGGGCTACTTTTAAACTGTTGCCATGGGTTGATTTTCCCAAGTGGGTTAAAGGTTTGAAATATTGCATACATTACATTTGACTGAAATGCTTGTATTGAAACATTTTGCATTCTACCTATGATAAAACTTTCACGGTCTTCTACATTAACTGTTCCCTCCTGGTGGAATGACCTGCCCAGCTCAATCCAAGCAGTTCAGTCCTTAATATTTTCAAGAAACAGCTGAAAACATCTCTTTCATCTTCATTTGACCCTCTAACTCTAGCATTCTCTATTCTATTTCTATTCTAATGGCCAATCCATAATTTTTGGGGGGAATTTTATTTTTTTTAATAAGTATTGGTTCAGGCACTGTTTAGGCACCAGAAACGTTTTAAAAGTATCGATTTGGCACCGGTATCGGAAAAAACCCAAACGATACCCAACCCTAGTAAGGACATCGGAAAAACAGTCCATGTGACATCAGTGGCTCAACTTCAGTTTTGCGAAGCTGCGAGAATACTTTTTGAGCGCAAAGAAAACAAAAATAAGAATTTATTCAACAATTCTTCTCCCCCGAGTTACATCTTCCGCCATTTTAGAGAGTATCACAATGCATACGCACGCTTTCCCCTAAGCGTAAACAACGCTGATTACGCAGATTACGTTTATGCACGCGCTTTATCCCCCGAACGTAAACAATGCTGATTACGTCGATTACAGTCTTGGGTACTCTCCAAAATGGCGGAAGACGTAACTCGGGGGAGAAGAATTGTTAAATAAATTGTTATTTTTGTTTTTTCTTTTCGCTCAAAAAGTATTCTCGTAGCTTTGCAAAACTGAAGTTGAGCCACTGATTGACTGGACAACATGGACTGTTTTACCGATGTCCTTACTACGTTTCTGGACCTGGGAACATTACAGTTGCGTTGCTGTCTATGCAGGGTCTGAGAGCTCTCAGATTTCATCCAAAATATCTTAATTTGTGTTCCGAAGATGAACAAAGGTCTTACGGGTTTGGAACGACATGAGAGTGAGTAATTAATGACAGAATTTTAATTTTGGGGAGAACTAACCCTTTAAGGACACGCAACAGGAATGAGCACAACTGACAAGGGAAGGCTATGAGCCTTACACTGAAAATGTATGGAAGTTGTTTTAATACGCCTCTGGTCATAGAGCTTTTTATATGCCTGCCAAGGATTTTTAGGTCGGGAAGACTCTTAGATCTCTGAATCAGTCCGTTTGCTGGCTTCCATGGCTGCAATACATTGTGTTTTCAGTGAACTGGCAACCCGGGGTGTCAAAATACTATTGTGTGTAAACTGGCAGTGGGCGGAATCACACAGACCAAAAACAGACATTCTGACACGGAATGCACATTTCAAAGAATAATTAGCTGTGATAGTTTTTCTTAGAAACAAGTATGTGACCTCAGCATGTTTCCTAAATATTGGCGAACATATTATGGTATTTTTATGCTTCAGTACAATCAGTTCTTTCCAATTCATTTAAAGAAATAAGTCATACAAAAGTGAAACTTCTGTCATATTAACTCACCCACATATCATTCCAGACCTGTATGACTTTTTTTCTGTGGAACATAAAAGAAGATATTTTGAAGAAGATATTTTTTGCACATACACTGAAAGTATTTGGCGTCCAAACTAAAACTGGTATCCTCTGACTTTCATTGTATGGACAATGAGACATTTTTCTAAATATCTTCTTACGTGTTCCACAGAACGGCACAAGGGTGAGTAAATTATGTTAATTTTGGGTGAACTACCCAGTAATTTTTCCATTAAGTAAAATGCTAAATTGTTTCCCTATAAATCAATGCCCAAAAACGTTGTCTAGGTAGGTAGCTCGCTATTTTTTTTGAGGCGCAGCCAATGAAACATCCCAGTTATGTCGTGGTGGAATCATCTACAGCTGGGTTCTGCAACTATAAAAATGAGCTTTTCTCTGTAACACTACATTAATAACTTTCATTAAGAACAGTATTGCTACATTATATTAATTAGTTACAAAGTTAGAAATTACTGGTTCAAAAGTCATTAAGTTCTACACGTTTCATTTATCCTCTCTACAGATTCTCTGGAGGATCTTCAGGGACCTCCAGGATCTACAAGTCGAGCGGCTACTGAGTAAATGTTTCACTTACCCGCTTGTTCTTCTCAGTCCTGACTGAGAGTTAGTTTGGGCACATTGTAGTTTCCGCGTCCGTTTTCACACATTTAAACGCTCAGTGCAATCTCTTAAAAACAAAACTTCAACCCTCAAGCCCTGTTTGTCAAGTATTCATCGGGTGAGACAAGAAATCAAGATGCTCCGCTGTGAAGCGCCCGCTGTGGGCGGTCCATGGGAGGAGTTTGCTGCAACTGTTTCACACGTGCAACAAGTGTGTAGTCCGAGTCATTTTCGCGAATCGGTTCTTTCGAACAGCTCGGTTCAAAAACATAACAGTGATTCTTTTCCGTCATGACGTTATTGCGCCATCACGAGCAGCACCTTCTGCTGTTTAAGTTTGCCGTCAAAGTTGAGTGGTTACTGGAATGTGTCCCTGTTCACTTCAGCTCATAAACACAAAGTCATTTAGAAACAAAATATAATCTATATATAATATGATAAAGATATAATGCATTTAGAGCGTACATTAAATGATACAAAAAATGTGCCTAATTAAAAGTTCTGAAAATCAATTTGACATTTCTCTGTTTTATTGCGTTGATAAGTGTTATACAATCCCATTTATTCGTAGTCCTACGTTTTCTGTTCGCCTGTTAAATTAATTTACCTTTTGTCCTGTCAGTCAAATCCCAGCATCACTCCTACAAGCTCACACGAGTCTGACAAACAGACGAGTCGGTTGAATAAGTTGAGTTTTTGACTCGAGAACCGTATGGAGCAACTGAGTCAGATCGGTTTTGTGAACTGATTCACTAAAAACACCCGACTCAAAAGAAAGATTCGTTCACTATTCGGACATGAGTGTTTGTTCAACAATCAGGGTTTGATGTGCGGCTGGCACGCATCGCCGCTGTCTGGCCTAAATTGGACCGGAATTTACCATGTTCATACTCTATGATTTCCCTTAATCCCCAAGCATCTTCACTATGTATTTAAGTTCAAATAAGCAGTCCAAGTCGACACGTTGACCAATTTTCTTTAGACCGTGTAAGCCCCCCCCAAGATCAAGATGCTCACCCGCATACTGAATTTAGAAATGTAATTAAAGATTTGACAATGACAACATGATCATCTGACCAATACTGCAAACTGTGCAGGATCCTCTAGAGGACAGTATTGCACTGATCATGAGTATAAGTTGCATTCAACACATTACAATTTGTCAACACGTTGAAATGGTGAATAAATGCAAGGTCCCCCCCCCCCCCCCCCCCCCCATTGTTCCTTTTTTTTGTGTGCTGATTTACCATTGAAGCATCGATCTGCCTTCAAAGGAAAACGTAACCTACAGTATATGCAGGTGTTGGATGATTTTTTTTTTTTAACAACAAATTGCTTGCATTTAGGAGCTTAACCTTTATAAATGTCGATTGTCAGACTCAGAAGATCAAACTAAATAATATATGAGATGTTTTATTTTATAATCCCTTTTTCCACATTCTGCAACGCAGAAGTAATTTTCTGTGAATGTGCGAGACTTCCGTTACATTAGCCGCTAGAATAACAAAGAAGTGTGCTTATAATTACGACAATACATTAAAACATAGCCTACCAGTTTGCAATATCAAGCAGCAAACAAGCTGTTTTGTAAAGCTAAAAATAACTGGAAGCGAATGAAGCCTTGCCCCAGCCAACATGTATATGTGGGCCCCACATGGTTTATGCTGGGTCTACATGGGTACCAAGTGGGCATGGTCCCAAAATGGGCATCTTATCTGGGGCCCACTTGGGTCAGCTAAGTAGGTCCCACATTGGCAAAAACAGATGGGCTCCCTACGTGGGTCCTAGTTGGGTCACAAATGGGAAATGAGTGCATGGGCTCTAAATGGGCTACACAAATGGGGCCCATATGGGTTTAACAAATGGGTTAGACATGGGCAAATACAATTAATCCCATATAGGCTGCCTACACAGGCCCAAGGTAGTACCCAGTCATGTTGCGCCATGGCACAACAGCTAAAGACTGTCAACTAGACGCGACAAAGCGACCGTTGAAAATCATTTAACTAGATGTCAGTACATCATAAATAGAACGAAGCATCAGTTTGCTGTCGGGGATTTATCATGTCGCATCGCATCCAGTGTAGACAGTCACTGATTATAATGGGTTCTATTGCATTTAGTCGCGCCATGCTGCGCTGCTTGCGACTGGCGTCGACATGGTGTAAACATCCATCTGTTTTAAAAAGCAAACTTAACATCTGTCTTATTTTTCATCCTAATTAGGAGACGACAAGCACACAAAGTTTTGTGCTGTGCTGCTCATACTAACCAAGCAATAAACACCCCTTCCCATGCCTGGTGTCTTGCAGATCAGAGTCCGAAACAGTCACTTGTGGGACAACGTTGTCCTGCACCACTTCAGTCAATAAGTAGAAAGAGAATTTTAGATTGACATGGCAGTCATTTATTATATTCTTTAATATAATATTACAACATCAGCTCATTTTGTGCATTAAACATAATTTCTACTTCAATACACATGCGCAAAACTTTTCTAGTTCAGTTTTCAATTTGATCAAGTGTTTACATGTTCTATTTAATGGATTAGAGAAGGTTTATCCCACCTTTCTAAAGCAATTGAAATTTTAATCGGTTTGAGCATTTTTATTTCAATTGATTTGTTTACATGGAGCTTTTTCAGAGCACAATGCTTCATGTCA